ATACAGGGGCCAATGCAAACATAATAAACCAAAGTGACTTGAAACAATTAAAATGCCCCCCTAGCATATTCAACAGAAATACGAAATTGTATGATTACAACAAACAGCCTATTGAAACATGTGGGGTGTGTGTATTACAGGTTCAAGTAAAAGGCAAGTGTCACAGGGTCCACTTTGTAATTGTAAAAAACGGAATTTCGTTGCTTTGTGATAAAACATGTGACAATTTGGGCCTTGTGAAGCGTGTCTGGGTTGTCAATAATAATACACCTGTAAAAGAGGTCAAAGAAATGAAAATGCCTAATGTGAAGAGTCCTGGGGAAAGTAACATGCATCACAATAGCAAATCACCTGCCACAAGGGTGGATAAATTGATAAATGATTATCCAAGTGCATTCAATTCAATTAGCAAGTTTGAGTCTATGCCTTTCACATACAAGATATCTTTGGAAGAAAATGCACAACCAGTTATTCATGCCCCAAGGCATGTATCAGTGCCTATGAGAGGTAAAGTGCACAGTGAACTTTCAAGACTTGAAACATTAGGCATCATAAGAAAGATTAATGACCCTACTGATTGGGTTAATAGCATGGTAGTTGTAAAGAAATCAAATGGTGATGTAAGATTATGTGTAGATCCTACAGATTTGAATAGGTCAATCAAAAGGGAACATTACCCAATACCAAAAAAAGATTTGATTATTAGTGAGATGAAAAATGCAAAGGTGTTTAGTAAGTTGGATGCTTCAAGTGGTTTTTTTCAAATTAAACTCCACCCTGAAAGTCAACCCCTCACAACCTTTAATAGTCCCTGGGGCAGGTACTGTTACCAACGTCTCCCACAAGGTATATCTAGTAGCCCAGAGGTGTTCCATAAGGCAATGGAACAGGTAGTTGATGGTCTAGATGGTGTACGAGTATATATCGATGATCTGATAATCTGGGGAGGAAATGCAACTGAGCATGACATGCGCTTAAAAATGGTCATGGAAAGACTGGTCAAATACAATGTCAAGTTAAATAAAGGAAAATGTCAAATTGGAGAATCAGAAATTACCTTTTTGGGAGAGAAACTAACTCAAAATGGAGTTCAACTTGATGAAGGTAGGATAGATACAATCACTAATTTAGAGAGTCCAAAAGACAAAACTGGACTTCAAAGAATATTTGGGGTGATTAATTACGCTGGAAAATTCATCCCTAATTTGTCTACAAGAACTACTCACATGAGGAAGCTTTTAGAATCTCAAGTTATCTGGAAATGGGAAAGCAATCATGAGCAAGAGTTCCAAGACATAAAAAAGGTCATAAGTTCATCCCCAGTGTTAGCCTATTTTGACCCTCTAAGGAAAACAAGAGTTTCAACAGATTCCAGTAAGGACTCATTAGGGATGGTTCTTATGCAACAGCATGGTACTGATTGGAAGCCAGTGGCTTACGGTAGCAAATCCCTTACAGAATGTCAAAAAAGATGGGCCCAGATAGAAAAAGAATGTTTGGGATTAGTTGAAGGGTGTAACAAATTTCATGAATACATATATGGGATGGATAAAATTGAACTTGAAACAGACCATAAGCCCTTGATACCAATATCCCAGAAAAATTTGAATGACATGACCCCAAGGTTACAAAGGTTGTTCATGAAACTGCAGAAATATGATTATACAATGATATACACCCCTGGTAAAAACTTGGTACTAGCAGACGCCCTCAGTAGAGCAAGTTTCAGAACCCAAAGATCAGAACCAAGAGTTTCAAAACTAGATATCCAGGTAGAAAATCAAGTGAACATGATATTTAATGAAATACCTGTCTCAGAGAACATAATGAGAAAAATCCAAATAGAAACAAAGAAAGACCCCATATTATCCAAGATTATTGACTATGTAAGAAATGGTTGGGAAAAGGGGTCAGAGAAAATATACTCCCAAATGAAACATGAAATTACTGTAGTGGATGATATTCTCTTGAAAGGGCAAACAGTAATTATCCCCAAAAGCATGAGGAAGGAAATATTGAATAGGGTCCATGAAGGTCACTTGGGAGTAGAAAAGTGTAAGCGAATAGCTAGAAAATCAGTATACTGGCCAGGCATTAATAATGATATCTCAGACATGATAGGAAAGTGCGAAACATGTCTTGAGCTGAGGTACAACAATGCAAAACAGCCATTGATAAATGGAGACAAAACAAAAGGCCCCTGGGAAAAGGTTGCAATAGACCTTTTCAAGCTCTTTGATAAGGACTATCTTTTAGTGACTGATTATTTCTCAAACTACCCAGAATGTGTTCATCTGTCAAGTACAAAGGCAAAAACAATAATCAGTCACATAAAGTCAATATTTGCAAGATTCGGAATTCCTTTGAAAGTGAGAGTTGATAATGCTACTATGTTTGAATCAAGAGAATTCAAGGAATTTGCAGACACCTATGAATTTGATTTGTCATTCAGTAGTCCTTTCCATAGCCAGGGTAACGGAAAGGCAGAAAATGGGGTCAAAATAGTAAAAAGGCTGATGAAAAAAGCAATTCGCAGCAATACTGACCCACATCTGGCCCTGTTAGCATACAGGAATGCCCCATTAGAGTGTGGTAAGTCACCAGCAGAGCTCTTAATGGGGAGACCATTAAGAACTCGATTACCATCTGCAATACAGGCCAACGATAGATTTACCGATATAGCCAAAAGTAAAGCCCTGCAGAAGGAGAAGCAGAAAAAATATTACGACAAAAACACAAAGCAACTTTCAAAGTTAGAAAATAATCAGACGGTTAGACTGAAAAGAAACCCGAAAGATAAATGGGATGTAAAAGCCAGAGTTGTCGCAAAAGTTTCCTCCAGATCTTACAAGGTAGAAACAGAAGGAGGGAAACTTTTTAGAAGGGATAGGAGAGAGCTCCTGTCATCAAAGGAGCCATTTAATGAGATAATGTGTCAAGACCTAGATATACAAACAAGACCTCCCACTCCTTGTCCCCCAAATTCCCATGAAACAAACCAATCAACCAACCCATCACCTGTTCCAACTAGTAACAGGTTCAGTCCCTTATTAAACATAGATGTGGAGCATCCAGCTACTGAATTAAGGAGGTCTGGCAGAGTGTCAAAACCAGTTAACAGACTCTGTTATAATTAATCACTTTTGATCAGTTAACTGGTTATTGATACTTGTCACTTGATACTTGTTATTAAGACACTTTGATAATTTCAAAGATACTTAAATCACATGAGATATTAAAAAATGAGAGTGTATCTAAAACATAAAACTTTCGAAACTAGTGATATCTATATTGTAACATAAAGCTTTCGAAATTAGTGACATCTATATTGCCTTTTTTATAATCATTCAAACTTTGAAACATTTTTCTGAGATACTTAGAAGGTTAAAGATACTTACAATATTGTATGAATAAAAGGTGATTATAGGGTGCAGTTTAAACATCAACAATTTGTAGATTATTAGTGTGCTATGAATAGAATTAATGTACAATCATTCATAGATCATTGTTTAAGAAAAGTCTTTATTATGATCGATCATTTGTATTATTTTTATATTCCTTTACATTCTTTAGAAAAAGGGAGATGTAATGATATCCAGTTTCTGGTATCATCTTGCTAACTGCCTTTGAGGTACTATGTTACTTGTACATGTGTGGGATTACAAATATACAACTTGGTCTTCTAAAGCTAGAACTTGTACTGTCCAGATCATTACAACAAGTAAAGTGTAATAATAATTTACACTCATCAATCAGGAGAGTTCTTAGAAAAACTCCACCTATTCATAATCCCTGAACACAACATTTCAAAAAAGAAAACACTGTTCAGTGGATAAGCACAGCTTGAATGTAATGATTACTGAGTGAAAAACTAAGGAATAGTCATTCAAAGCAATGAACTCCAACAAAGCTACTGTAGGTGCATGAATAAGGGGAATAACCTTTTGAACCTAGAAGGCCATCATTACATAATATACTACACTAAAGTATAGTCATGAACTCAAAGGATTAGAACCCTAAGGTTAGTAAAAGTATACTAGTATAGGGTTAAAGAGTAAAGGTCCCTTATAGGAAGGTACAAAGTATGAATGAAAAACCTTTACAAAAAAAGATAATACAAGCCAGTAGGGGTCAAATAAAGTTCAACTGGGTCTGAACTTATTGTCCCAAAGACAAACTAGGCTAACCTAGATTTGACTGTTAGCTAAACGTGTTGCTTGAAAATAAAATCCATGGAAGGATTTCCTAAAAACTGACCTGTTTCTAGTGTTAGAAGTACACTAAAATACAACCACAAATGAGCTCACTGCACTGAAGAATGACTTGTGACTCTGTCCAAGTACCTTCTGCTGCTGAAGAGGCCCTGCTGAGGTATAGTCTTGAAGATCTACCATGGGATGGTGGGCACCATCTCCCTCAGTAAACTGCTACTCAAGTTGTGCATGCTTCTAATATGCACCTTGCTGTCCCAAAGATCGGCTACTTGGTCATCTGTGCCAGTTCAGATTGTAGATTTTCCGACTTCTGTAGACTATCACATTGACTAGGTTCCCGTAACAAACTGGTAACCCCTAGTCCTGCATATATCTGCCATCAATTACCAATTATCTAAGAAACTTCTAGCAGATAGAGTAAAAAACTGGACTCTAAAACTTTTCCACTTTTCCATACATAAGGCAAGTACAATTATGAAGATATAGCATATAAAGGGGTGTTAGGTCAGTTGACCTAGAGGGATTCAGGTTATCCTGTTGTTTTTGGACTTGCCCATTTTTCCAAATTAGGGGTATTAGCATATGTCATGGAATAGGTTGGATTGTATGTAATAATAAATGTTGCTGATTTCTAGAATTGATAGATTGAAATACATAGTTTTTATATTCTTTTCGCCAAAAATCCCAATTTCAAGCCAAAAAGTTTTTTGTATTTTTAATAAGTACAGTAGATCTCACATGTGTAAAGTTATTCGAATCTAAATATCATGTCAGGCCTATACTCACAATAGCCCTATAGAAGTTGTTGACGCCTTGTGTTCTTTTGCTCTTCATGCATACAACTTCCCCAATGTCAGGCTGTCTTGTAAGTTTGGTAGCTTCACTACAATGTGTTACTAATCTAGCCTAAAATATAACAAGATTGACTGTAGGGGCAGAGGAGGGGGTAGGGGGTAGGGGGGGGAGTACATGTATGTTATCAATGAAGCATATCTCATCTACCATCTTATCAATTTTTACCTAGGTGGCATCAAAGTTGGAGAAATCAATCATATTGATACATTGAATGGTAATTTTTGATCAATCAAATTTGCCTCACCTATTTAAATAGCCTAGACATTGCGACTGACCACTCTTAATTTTCTTTAGCCTACCTCGATTTCTGCCAGTTTGTTTTGCACCTCAGGTCCAATGTTAGCGAACATATGACCGCAATCTAAAACTGCACTTGGATGGACATCCCCCATAGCCCAGGTATCATCAATATCAGTGCCATCTTTACTTGGCCATACATATCCTTTATTGAGCATTTCCTCTTTGATAAGAACATCACATTCTTCATTCGAGGTGTCTGTGAGGCTCACAGTATATCCATCAATTTTTAAATTCAGAGTATCGAGATTCTCAACTTTGATATAATCAGCGATTGTTGTATTTGTATATTTGTGGTCCATTGGTTTCAGCTGTCCGAATAACTCCTTTGATAGCGTTATCTGTTTTAAATAATCTTTTGCTTGTTTTGTATACATATACAAAGGGGAGAGATCTTGATCAATTATGTTAATTGCAAATTTGACCATATCTGTATCAACTAATTTTTGTTTTTGTTTATTCGATCCAGAATAAAGTTTGTTCATTAAAATTGCAGCTTGTTCAAGCATCTTCAGATATTCATCGTTGGAAGCCAAAATTGGAGTTTCCATGAGGCTGTTAAAATGTTCAGTCAGTGGTTTCAAGATTCCTTTCTTTAAAATATGCGTGATAAATTGCTCAAGGTAGCACATAGCACCTAAGCATGCGTACGCAAGAGTTTTAACATTGCAAGTTATGGATGAAGAACACGAACTGATGATATTAATCAATTTATCCATGACGCCTAATGTTGTGAATGACAATATTACATCTGGATTTTGATTGGCCAGTTTCAGAAATGATGTCATAGCAACAGTCATATGGTCAACTGTACCTGCATTCAAGAAGTTCATTTGGAGTTTAAGTATTTCTTTTCTTGAGGTATCCATACTAGCCCTGCAAATAAAAAATATGCAATAATTGGATTTATGAAATTATAAACAGTTTGTTGAGGGGAGTAGTACATATGAAAGTATAGAATAAATGAGGTAAGAATGACAAGCTCAGAGATTCATTGTAAACTGAAAGAGTAAAGCTGAAACTTTCTTTCAAGAAATTATCATTTAATTGTACTAATTAGGCTCCCTGATGGCAAACTGTTAGAATTAAAATAAATAAAAAAATGTAAACACAACAGAAAAACAAACCCAGAATTTAGGCAAAAGGAGGATGGAATGGGTTGCATAACCATTAGTGCCAATTCAGTTCAGTTTTCCAGAAAATTATGCAGTCAATTGAAAAATCTGATTTGATTTTGATGTAGTATCTGGTTGGACTATGAAGATGATTGAGGTACAACAATACATACATGTAATTGCATTTCATTGCAAGGGGAGTTGGAAGGAATAGTATGCGAAATGTGTACTCAATACTCGATCCCATTAGAGGAAATGACTAGAAAATAATCCATATTTTGACAACAAGCTCTGATTGACTTTACAAGCTCAGAGATTCATTGTAAATTGAAAGAGTAAAGCTGAAACTTTCTTTCAAGAAGAGATTTTAGTCAACTGAAGGTGAGACCATGGGCTTTCAATCTTGTGAAAGCCAATGGTGAGACTGAGGTCCCTAAAATAGAGATGAAAAACCAGGGAAAAAGGAATAATACTCATTATAAATATGCAATGGTGTAATTGTAACGATGGGCATGAGATGACGACATAATAGGGTTTCCTTTGGTTGGTTTCATTTCATGAAGAGGAGGGAAAACCCCAGAACTAAGATTTAACAGATATCTCTTGCTTACCACCATCATTTGCGCAAATTCTCACCACTTAATTTTCAAATATACCACGTCGTTATGGTGTATTAATCAATGTAAGCATATTCCTTACACCTTTCTTTGTAAAATACATTTAACAAGCTATGATATTGGTAAACATCCCAGAGATCAGCATACCGAAATCGGCTTCTTAAGGGCAAACCCATAATAAGTGCCTACCCCGCTTCATAGAGCTCAAGAAATATTGAGGAATGACCAAATATTAACAAAAATATCAGGAAAAATCAAATTTCCAAATAAATATAGTGGGCCATGATAGAGTATTTACACTAAAATGCAGAAAACATGACGCATTTTGTAATTCGATGCATTCTTCCAATAAATATCTTTCAGTGGGTGCTTCCCACATCATACTAAATAAATATTATCTAAAAATAGTCCATAATGAATGAGCTTCTCAATACAGATTTGCATCATTTATAGACACAATGTCTACTTTGAATCCTGGGGTTATACCCCCTTTCCATTGCATTCATAAAAACATTGTGGGCGATAATATGTGATCGATCATTTATCTGTCCATATTTGGATGTATTTGCATACGCTGTACTCATAAAACGACATAGACAGTTCACCTACATTATGATTTACTTATGTGATGATGCTTCGATACTATCAAGGTTGGGAGTCGTCAGTAAACAGCACTTTTGAAATAAAATAAAAACTCGCAGAAATTTTCCGGAAGTTCTAAATTTTGAGCCAAATACTTCTTTGCGTTTTGATTGGCCAAAAATATTAATATTAAATGCTTCATTATTTATTTTTTCACAGAATTATATTATTTCTCAACAAATGTTTACTGTGTTGATTATTAGTTAGTATATTCGTCTATGAAAAATATTTTGAAAATGATTATTTGAATATTAATGATCATATTTCTCATTCAGTCCGCTTAAGTCCTAGAAATCATGGCTGTCGTTGAACCGGTTGTCGGGGGATTCTCCTTTGAAAATTGCAGAAGGTACGATTCATTTTTAATATTTGATGTGTATTATGTGAGTGATAAATATTGAACTTTCATTTGTCTTATTTTGGGTGCGTTTCATTTAGAAATGATCGAGATTTAGAGATTTCAAAAAATGCTAATTCATGATTTTGGAGGTTTTTTGTTCATTTTTCATTTCTCTTATGTTACTATCAGTATTATTAGCAAGTGTTATTTCAATAAGCAGTGTTCTCCCAACATTAAAGCAAGTAAGCGCTGCACCCAACTGAGATTTTAATAAGTCTGCGCAGAGAACCGAATCAAAGACACGAATCAGTTCTCAATTGCAGGCCTGTCAACTGTCCCGCAATTTGCGTATTTGTCACGCATTTGCTGAAGAATTTGAAGTCACGCCATTTTTTTTTGCGTGACAGAAAATGTCACGCAAAATACGCATTTTACGTGGTAATTGTCAAGCAAAAATATTTCTGTAGAAATTTTTTCGAAATATGTTTACGATACGGTAAAAATACGAACGCCGGAAAAAAACGAACGCAATTTGTTCGGATTTGTCACGCGAATCCCGTATGTGTCACGCATGTTCATTGGAAATTTTTCATACCCCCCCCCCCCCCCCCCCCCCCCCCCCCCCCCCCCCCCCCCCGTTGACGACAACGCGAGCGTAGCGAGCGCGAAAAATTTGAGGTGTTCAAAGTTTGGCAAAGGTGCTCAAACTTTGGCCAAAGGTGTTTAAAAGTTGGCCAAAGGTGTTCAAAATTTGGACAAAAGTGTTCAGATTTGGACTTAGGTGTCCAACATTTTGAAGTCACTCATATTAGGTGGTCCCAAGTTGACAGCCCTGCAATTGCCATGAGTACAATCAAATTTTTTATTCTGTCAATCAGTTCATATGGTTAGAATAAGGAAAGAATGTGATGTAACCACGTGTCTACTTACCGGCTTGTTCTATGTCATCCATCGGACTAGGTTACATCGTGGAACGCAGCCGAACAGGACGCTGAAGGCAACAGCATATCTATCTTGATCTTAGCCGATTTTTTGGAAATTTAGATCATCCATTTTGCAAGCTCACGTGACTGACACGTGACACATGTCTGATCACGTGACTAGTTACTGTATCGATCATGTGACTTAATCACGTGTCAATGACGTGTCACCCAATCATGTCTTCAAGGAAATCGGAAGTAAATATTTTGGAAAATGTTTTCCGAGCATTTGCTACTGATTATAGAAGGCCCAATTACGCAACGAACGAAACTGCTAAATTGTTTTCGTGCCTAACATGCGCAGTACGCAATGAAAGAAACTGCTAAATTGTATTTTTAGAGCTGTTTATTGATCTATTGATTCATAAAGACCTGTAATGATGCATTCAAATAAGACCGCCTCCTAAATGAAAACAGTACACATAAGGTGGTGAAAAAACAACGAACTAAAGTTGAAAGATCGGAACGTTCGCTACTTTGTTCAATTCCGGAAATCTCCAAGGGGCTGCAAATGGGAAATTATTTAGATTTAGATTTTATAACCTCAGAATACTGGCTTCATTGTCGTGTTTGGCTGCGTTCCACGATGTAACCTAGTCCGATGGATGACATAGAACAAGCTAGTAAGTAGACACGTGGTTACATCACATTCTTTCCTTATTCTAACCATATGAACTGATTGACAGAATAAAAAATTTGACTGTACAGGGTGGGCCAAAAAATTTTGCAACCTTTTTAGAAGGCAAAAAAAGTATCATAACATTATGGTATTGACATGAAATATTTTTTACAGAAACTTAAGGATAGGCATATTTTACCATTCAAATACTTAAGCTAATACTGACTACACATTTTTTTGTCAGATGTTTGAATATTAATGGTAAATTGTTCATGTGTCCGAGATTTACCGATTTTCCTAGAAAATGTGATTTTCTATAATTTTATGTGATCATCGATAGAACATTTATTATGTTCACTAAATCTGCTGCAATCTTTGTTAAGTGGTGTATTGGGCAGCTATTCATCAGGACTAATGAATCAAGGGGTATTTTGCTCCAGATATTCCATAGTGACTTTTGGCCTATGGTCACTATCCTGCCGGAATATATAATCACTTGGGACTGAAAGAGTCCCTATTCTTGAAAGATGTCCCTTTTGAAGAAGATTAGTCCTGAGTCGAATGGCCACCCAATACACCAGATGCCAACCCCTGGGACTATCACACATGGGGGCACCTAGAGCAATGTATTGTAGTTAATGGTTATTCCCCACAAATTATTGATCAACTATAAGAAGTTCTGCAGGATAAGTGGAGGCAACTACCACAAGAACTGCTGGATCTCGCCATTGACCAGTTCAGTTCTCGTCTCCATGTGATTGTGAAGGTGAAAGGCGGATGCATAGAGCATTTGTTTAATAAATAATTAATACAGTGTAACAATATTACCATAGTGACTAGATACTGATAAACCTGTACTAGACATTGGTTAAACAGTTATCAAAGATTGAAGCAGATTTAGTAAACATAATGAATGTGTTATTGTTGGTCACATAAAATCATAGAAAGTCATATTTTCTAAGAAAAATGGCAAATCTCGGACAAACGGACAATTTACCATTAATATTCAAACATCTGAGAAAAAAATTTGAAGTCAGTATTAGCTTAAGTATTTGAATGGTAAAATATGCCTATCCTTAAGTTTCTGTAAAAAAAATTTCATGTCAATATCATAATGTTATGATACTTTTCTTGCCTTCTAAAAAGGTTGCAAATTTTTTTGGCCCACCCTGTAGAGGGCATATTAAGGGCAATCTACAACTGATTTGGTTCTTTGATTCGGTTCTCTGCTCGTTTTTTCTGCGCATCTAAAATTTGATTGGTCGATTTTTATTGTACATGCGCAATGGTCATAGGAAAAAACTAGACTATATCCTCTAGTCTGAAATTTTTTGAAATTTGGAATGAAAATATTCAGACTATAGCCCACATATGTTAAAACTTGGGATTGAAAATTATTTGTTTACATAGGAAGTGCCATTCAAAATGGCCGACTGGGTAAATTAATTTGCATATTTGTTACTTCCCCTAGCTTTATTTCCATTCGACAATATGCTGTTTTACTTTTTATGGCATTTAATTGTACCTTAGAATCCATTTCACTGCTTCATTTCGTCAGTAGAACGGCAAAAATAAGAAATTGGGAGACCATTGTGCAATAATATATGGAAAAGTATATTCATAATGTACGTGAATGACATTTGTATATCTTGGATTGCTTCTAGTTTGGCTTATAAAGTGTGTGGCCTCTTATATTGGGATGCTTCTCTGCCATGTTATTTTCAATAAGATTAACATGGCTGAAATTCTTCAAATTACAAGATGGCACAGGCTTATTGCACATAAAACTAAAAAATCGGAAATATACAAATGTCATTCATGTACATTATGAATATACTTTTCCATATATTATTGCACAATGGTCTCCCAATTTCTTATTTTTGCCGTTCTACTGACGAAATGAAGCAGTGAAATGGACTCTAGTACTTAATTGAATTGTTATGATGCTTATTTTTGGGAGCTGAAGTTTCGAAATTGATAATTGTGTGCAGGAAATTTCCTGTTTTTTCTCACAGGAGGGACATAATGATCAATAGACTGAATTCTCAGGAAATTCAGTCTATTGGATATAGACTAGGAAAAAACAAGATAGAATTTATGCAGGAGGCATTATGTTCTCAGTTTGGGCCCTTTTGCCACACTAATATATTAAGCAAAGTTATTTCATTTAATATTTTTTTTTTTTTTTTTTATTCAATTTAACTTTTAACATATGTACAAATACATGAATAATACAGTTCAATTATGAAACAAATTGGTCTAAAAATAGTATGAAATGCTTAGCGAAGAATGAAGCATGATTACAATTTGAATGTTCATATACATTAGCGAAAAATACAATGTTGCAAGCTATTTTTGACTTGAAGTTCAGATTTATAAAGAGATCGGCCTTTTCTGAGAAAGCTATCCAGTTTGAATAAACAGTGTAAGCAACAATAGTCAATAATAAGTCTCTGAACATTGAGACCTTGTTTTCATGGATTTTTATATTGCCCAGTACAATGTCCTGCCATCTGATATTAAGTTTTAGTATTTTTTCAATTTTCTCCCATATTGGTTTTATTAATTCACAGTCAAATAGCAAATGTTTCACATCTTGCGTCTCTCTACATTTCATACAATTTCTATTTACACCTACATGCCAATTAGAAACCATTTTGCCACAAGCAATGCTATTATGCAGAAGTTTAAAGTTAAATTGAGCAAGAATTTTATAAGACACATTATTTATCTTCCTTACATAAACTCGCTTAAAGAGACTATTTCTATGCTCCAACTTAAAACTTCTGCACCAGTAATTCTCAGAAATTGACCGTTCTACATTTTCTTCAATTATATGTTTATATACAATCTTCGTACTAACTGTATTTATATGCCTAAATCCATCTTTAAAGAGAACATATTCACTATCTTTTATATTAATGTAATTTCCATAAGTGGTATCTAAACCTTTTGTAAATACAGTCAAACATTTTTTTAATGTAAGCCATTCCACCATCCAGTTTTGAGCTCGATGCTTCAATTGTTCAATAATAATTTTTTCCTTTTTAAAAACACCCTGCCTGTCAAAGAAGTCCTTGACATACATAAACCCAGATTTAATCCAGCTTTTGTAATATAACGTGCTATTTTTGCTTTTTACATTTTCATTTAGCCATATGACTTCTCCCATGCGATATTTACCTTTTGTATTGTTTTGTTTACATTTATTAAAGGCAATGAAAGCTTCTTTGTAAAATTCTGGCAATTTTATGTCAATTTAACTAGTGAAAGTGGTCTTCAAGAATTGTTTTACAGTAAATCCTAAGTTGTTAATATAATGTTCAATAATGAGATTCCAAGACGATTTATTATGCAAAAGTCTTTTAATCCAAGACCCGCGTATAGCTTTTATCTTAGTATCAATATCTACTACATTAAGTCCCCCATTTTCAATGTCATTAATTACTGTTTTCCTTTTAACAGCTTCTCTTTTCCATAAAAATTTGAAAATTGCTGTCTGAATTTTCTTTTTAATATCTAAAGGCATTGTTAGCACTGTCATATTATATATTAATTGAGAGATACCCAATGAGTTAATGACTTGTACTTTGCCAAAAATAGTTAGATTTCTTTTTTTCCAACGTTCTAACGTGTTTTCAAAATACCTGACTTTAGTTTCCCAATTTAATTTTTCACATTCTTTTTTGTTATGTCCAATATATATTTCATTTAATATGGTTCACCCATACATTTAATTTTTCTGTATTTGCCGCTGCAGTCAATCATCATTCTTTAACATTCAACATACAGTACTGATTTTAGATGTTCAATCTTGTACAAAAGTGTATGGTGGATTATTGTCGGTGAAAATAACTACCTGGGATCATGGATGTACATGTTAGGATGGTCCTAAATTACTAAATAGTTTTGTTCACAGCATTGATGATGGTAATTGAACTAAAATGGGAGAATGCTTTAATCGAAAGGTATCATGGGAAGCACCTTTCATTTTTGCGCATGCGTAAAAAGTGAACCGAATCAGTTACAGATTGCTATAGAACCGTCCGAATCAGATGCAGATTGCCCATACTCCATATTTTGAATAATTTTTATCTGAATTAAAGCAAATGAGAATTTTGCACCCACTTGGGAAAAAATCCTGTGGAGATCACTGATAAGTGTGACATATTTAGCTTACCTCTTTCAAAGTTGATCTGTTAGAACAGTCATTACACGCCCCCTATTACCCAGTTCTACGAAGGGGGGAGGGGGGGCTTTTACCAATGGGGGGAAGCTTTTTAACTGTTTTGGTTAAAAATCATGCAAAAAGTGCTCAGGATGGTGAAAAACTGCCTGATTTTGAAACAATTTTGGCCAGGGGTGAGGGGCAGCTCCCTGGCTTCGGGCCTGTATCCTCAAATGTTTCCTCCATAACTTAGAAATTAAAGTAAGTGATCAGCTGCCTCTGTGCCAATTAACTTCGATTGAGTTCTTTTATCGGTCAAGTCCAAATTTTCCACCAAGAATCAAAAATGGTGGATAGTGATGAAATTCACAAAGTAATGCTCAAATTCATCTAATTGAACCAAATTGCAAAAAATAAGATGAAATATGAAAAACGTACGTATCCAGAAGTGTGGCCATTAGCTCACGTACATTCAAGAATCTCCGGAGAGTTTTAGCGTCAATTCATGAATTTTTGTGATATCCCCACTTTTGTTGATGACTTTATGTAATGTCGGATTTTCAGCTATATCAGTTCAGTTGTTTCCCCAGAATTTTTCATAGGGGGATTTTGTATCAAGTTTAGCCACTCAATCGAATGAACGGGGGGGGGGGCATTCAATTAAATTCTGGGGAGACCACAGCAGTTGTAATTCATTGTTGTTTGAGAACATAGTTTCATTATTAGTTCTCTTCATTTTATTGTTGGTGCAAGTTGAGCTCTCCCACCTTTAGTTTACAATTTGAAGATGATTACTATTTACTCCCGGGATTTTTCGACACAGTTTAATTTCACAAATTTTGAGAAATCTCCAATTCACTGCTATTTAATTTGGAATTTGAAATTTCATTATTATTAAATCCTCAAGCTTTGTTAACTTAAGTTACCCTTGACTCCATGAAGTTTTAAAGATATTACCTCATGGCACAAGCAATTCGATTATGAACCATAAATCAGGTCTAACCAATAATTATTTTTCACGATTCTACCACAATCGAGAATTGCGCAAAATTAGATCACACAAGAAAAAAACAGAAGTACAATAATTGGATATCTTATTTTCATTACATGTTTTTGACATATTTCAGAAATGCTATCTTACAAGAGAAAGGTCTGAAGCCACCCAATGCATACAAAACTGGGACCACTATAGTAGGAGTTGTATTCAAGGTATGTATATCATTAGGTGCATATCTTGACTGGAATATATCTTTGTTAAATCAATGTACCATATATACGGCCCCCAGGAGAGATTATAAGTTGACAAATATGGGTATTTGCAAAGATTGAGGATGTATTATAGGAAATGTACATTGAATAAGATTTAACCCTTAAACAGTTAGGCTATAAGGAATTATACCAATAATATCCACCCCTAACCATTTAAGGGTTTAAACGTTTGATATATAATGACTGAAATGGCCACCTTATTATCCCATCGAACGAAGTTCGGAGGGATATAGGGAACGCCTCCGTATGTCCGTCCGTACGTCCGTCCGTCCGTACGTCCGTCCATACATCCGTCCGTACGTCCGTCCGTACGTCCGTCTGTCCGGGCGATAACTCAAATACCGTTTGCCCGATTTTGTTCATATTTTATACACAGGTGCCCTATGAGGGTAGAAGTTCTGCTCGAAAGCCGATTTTCAAAATGGTCGCTCATTTCAAAATGGTGGCCATTTCAGTGCCGAATTTACAGTAATTCAGGTGCAATATGTAAAACTGTAATAGCAATATGTTTTAGATGTAAAAAAATTATATAGGACATTAATAAAGCTAGAAATGTAGATATAAAATAAGCACATGGCAGCCATCTTGAAAAATGGCGGCCTTTACTCGTTATTTTACGATTTTTGCTGTAACTCGAAAAGTAGTGGAGCGATTTTGTTCATATTTGGTATGTGAATACTATAAACATTGCACACTGTCTAAAGACACTTTTGGTTGAAGGTGGCCATTTTAAAAAATGGCCGCCATTTTGAAAAATAGCCGCCATTTTAACCTATTTTACTATAATTCGAAAAGTAGTGAAGCGATTTTGTTCATATTTGGTATGTGAATACTATAAGGATGGCACACTGTCTAATGACACTTTTGGTAGAAGGCGGCCATTTTTCAAAATGGCCGCCAGCCCGCCATTTTAATGTATTTTACTATAACTCGAAAAGTAGTGGAGCGATTTTGTTCATATTTGGTATGTGAATACTAAAAGCATGACACACTATCCTATGACACTTTTAGTAGAAGGTGGCCATTTTGAAAAAAAATTGAAAAATGGCCGCCATTTTAATGTATTTTATAATAATTCGAAAAGTAGTGAAGCGATTTTGTTTATATTTGGTATGTGAATACTGTAAGCATGGCACACTGTCTAATGACACTTTTGGTAGAAGGTGGCCATTTTGAAAAATGGCCGCCATTTTAACGTATTTTACTATAACTCGAAAAGTAGTGGAGCGATTTTGTTCATATTTGGTATGTGAATACTATAAGTATGGCAAATGGTCTAACGACACTTTGGTAGAACGCGGTCATTTTTTTTGAAAAATGCCTGCCATTTTTGCTATATACTTTGTTTGTAAAAATGCCATCCATGGCTGTTCGATGGGATTCGCTACGCTTTGGCGTTGCCGTTGTTCTAGTTAAGCCAATTACATTAAAGATCAGAGGTTTCATTAGAATTTCACAATAAATGACTCAAAAAACACTTGAGGACCAATTTTTTCTTACATGTAGCGTACTTCAAAGTGGTCAACTTTTTTTGTTCTGAGTAATAAATATATCAACAAATCTTGTATTTTCTTTCAGGATGGGATAGTTCTAGGAGCTGATACAAGAGCAACAGAAGATACAGTCGTTGCTGATAAAAATTGCTCCAAAATACATTACATAGCAGATAATATATAGTAAGTATGTTTCGATGAATTTAAAAGCAAGTTTTGAACTTGTACTGAAACAAGTAGGAAACCCATTTTCACCTATTTAATGTGAGACAAAAAAAAGTTGTCAATTTTAGTGAAATTGGTCTAAGTATACTGGGAGTTTCTTTGAAACTAAACAAGAAAATCAGTTTGATTTCCAACACAATGGCATTGCCATTATATTGTCGCATTATTATGTTAGAAGACAGTCTCCAACTTTTTTTGTTGCCAGTGTTCAGCGTCTGTAACAAATGGCACATTTTGGATGTTAATGCCTTGTTATTACTGTAATATTTTAGTTGTTGTGGAGCAGGAACAGCTGCAGATACAGAAATGACCACACAGATGATCTCGTCCCAGCTACAACTGCACAAACTCAATACAGGACGTGTTCCCCGTGTCTGTGTTGCTAACCGTCTCTTGAAGCAAATGCTCTTTAGGTAAGAACCTACCATTGGATGGTACTTAATGTCATATTGCTTTAAATGTACAACTGCACAAACTCAATACAGGACGTGTTCCCCGTGTCTGTGTTGCTAACCGTCTCTTGAAGCAAATGCTTTTTAGGTAAGAACTTACCATTGGATGGTACTAAATGTCATATTGCATTAAAGGGAATGCGAAGTTTTGTCCCTTAAACCTGATAATAAGTTAGAATAAAGATATATCTTTCAATCCAAATTAGATTTATTGTTCTATCATTATCCTTTTAATTGTTATTGAGCCCCGGGTTTTGCAAATGAACTGGACCACGGAGCTGCCATTTCAACCGTAAAGTGGTTCTTTACGACATTGTTATGACGTCATTGATGCCAGATTGATGCCTTGGCATTCCAAAAGTTTTGTGGCGCCATTCTTGAATCAAGGAGGATTGGCTCCCAGAATCGAAGTCGATATTTTCCAACAATGAAAACGCCGAGATGTCGTTATTTTCTGAAATTATAACCGATTATAAATTCAAAATAAACAGTTCAAAAGATTCGAACCAATATCTCGATCATTTCCTGTGAGTTTTGGAATTTTTCGTTAGGAAATAAGACCAAAATTCACAATTCAAATGTTGAAGTTAACAAAATGGCGGCTGTTGGAATTCAAATTTTGTAGCACGACATGCCCATATATGGGACAGAATATCGATGTTGCACTCTGGGAGCCAATCCTCCTTGTTCTTGAATCAAAAAATGAATGCCGAGTTGTTGCCATTCCAAAACCGAAGAAATCATTTCAAATGAACTAAAAGAATACGTATATACCACCCATAATAAAGAACGATCTCAATAGAATATTAACGCCGGCATTTTCAGAATTGCTTTTTACCAATCTAGACATGGAATACAGGTTAGATTTATTCTTTATTTACACTTGAAACAATCTAGGATTCGTGACTTTTTAACTTTTATTAGGTCTAGCGCTAAATGCGAACAGGCCAATGCAAACTATTTGAATAAAACATAATATAATTAATTCAACCAACCAAGCTTGAATTTCCAAGAATGCAATGGTTTAATTTGCTAGTCTCATTACAAAAATACGTGTTCGTACTTTAGTATTCATTGCATTTATGTTTATCTTTAACACAGGTATTCAAAGAAACTAAAATTTTAAATTTAAATTTTAAAACCGTACTACTATCATGTATTCTTAGCCTCGCGTCACATTTTTACGGGGAATGTACGGTCTATCATTACTGTGGTAAGTAGGATTTCTACGGTTGCCTAAGTATTTCTGCAGTCCGATAATTTAGCAGTCACATTTGCTAAGATAGCCGTACGGCGTATCTTGATTATGAGGAAAAACTACGATTCCCGTACGGCTGATAAATGATGACGCACGATCAGCGTAGGGCGGCCCTACGACGTGCGTAGTTGTTCTTGAAGGCATCCACAAGGGTTTCTATGGTTCGGAAAGGTCAATTGTAACCTATGAAATCCAAGCGCAGCCGCAAGTCGACCGTGTACCCGACGTACGGTCGTCGTGAGACCTACGGTTTGGCTGCTGCTTGTTGATATCTATGGTGACCACAGGAAAGAAAAAAGTTTTAACTCCGACTCTACGCCTTGTAAAAACTGGATATGTCGTGTACGTAGACAGCAAGGTGACCTTAAGTCGACTGTAGTTTTCCTATGTTTGCCGCAGAAATACTGATATATTTCAGGGAAATACGATCGACGTGTGGTCGCATTGAACAAATGTGACTGAAGCTTTTATTTTCCGATATAGAAAAACAAAAGGTTGTATGCCATTAAATTGAAAGTCATTTCGAAAATACTGTAGAACTGTACTTACCACGGATGTTATATAATTAAATTCGAGCTCGAAAAAATCAGAAATTGTTTTTAACAAAAAAAATATATATAACTATTGGCGTACTATCAATACGGCAATTGCCTTATCGTCGTTGAAATGAAATATCATACTACAATCGACCCCATCGTCTCCCCGCATCACTGAATGTTATGAGGCTTCTCATGTGAAATGCCATTGAATTTTGAAAAGCTTTTTTGTCATATCGAATGTCGCTACGGTGATATGATGATTGAAATTGGTCGTTTAACAACTGAGAAAAATTAAACATTACGTATTATTCTTTGAAAATATGACAGTGGCATGTCCTTGTAAAGCTATTGCGCATGCAAATCTTAATATTTAGGAGATTGACATTTACATACGTATCATTTAGACGACATCGATTTTTCGTTTTTTTGTTTGCGTTTTTCATCAGAATTTAAATGGCCAAACACTTTAGGGAGTTACTGTTTCATTGGATTACTACTTTTTTTTTATTTCTTTCATTCTCCAATATGCACCTATTAATGCACCTATACATATTTGAATAGAATACTACAGATTGAAGAAATCTACCATTTATGATTAGGTAAGAAAGCAATTGCGGCAGTATGCCTATTTGCCGACGTATACCTTAAGGTTAATAATGATGTGCCGTAAATGCTCATCAGCGCATTAATGAACATTAGCATAGATTTTGATATTTTAAATGGTATGTCGTTTATTTACATATATATGGTAAATGCGACTATTTGTTGGATGCGTTCAGCCGATGATATAACTTACTTATTTCACCACAAATACGCCAACACATTAGCCACGTTAATCTTAGTTAAATAAATCCCCGTGCATTGATGCACAGTAATGCATTTATGTCAAATGCCATTTTGTATATTTTAATGCATTTACCTCATTTATTGGTTAAATATACAAGAAAGCATTTACAGGATTTGAACAGATTTATCCTTTTTGAACAAGTGTTATCATAATATAAAATAATTCTAGTGGATATTTTTCAAGTGGAATATAATGCGATGACTTCCGAATCGCGCAGCCGATATCTCATAAGTTTAGTGATTTTTCTACCTAGCCTATACTATATCACATTGGAGAAAATAAATACAAACATTTGAAAAAATACATTGCAACAATTCAATTTCTATGAAGAATATATTGAAAAAACTTTTCCAAATATATGATATGATATGGACATGAACATGCGGCAACAATGTTAAGCGGACAGAAATCACAGATCCGGAGCCAGATCTAGCCCCTATTGGTAGTAGGCTCAAAGGATAAATTTTCCGAAGAACTCGTGTCTTGTCCTTGAGTATATTTATTGAGCCTAGACACAGAGGAGCGACAGAAATAGTTTTAAAATATCAGTGAAATGTGTTCTATTTCTGCGATCCGAGTATGACGTGATTATATAGCGACATTTCCCAGGCATCAATTTTAAGGCATCAATGACGTCATTGATACATAACAATGGCGGCATCCGCAGCGACCCCGATATGGGTACTTTGAACTTGAATTATATGTTAGTTCAAACACGATATGTCCAATGAGTGAGCTGAAGTGATAGATGATGGTTATAAGTAGCCAGCATGTAAATTAGAACATGAAACTTCGCATTCCCTTTAAATGTACAACTGCACAAACTCAATACAGGACGTGTTCCCCGTGTCTGTGTTGCTAACCGTCTCTTGAAGCAAATGCTTTTTAGGTAAGAATCTACCATTGGATGGTACTTATGTCATATTGCATTAAATGTACAACTGCACAAACTCAATACAGGACGTGTTCCCCGTGTCTGTGTTGCTAACCGTCTCTTGAAGCAAATGCTTTTTAGGTAAGAACTTACCATTGGATGGTACTAAATGTCATATTGCATTAAATGTACAACTGCACAAACTCAATACAGGACGTGTTCCCCGTGTCTGTGTTGCTAACCGTCTCTTGAAGCAAATGCTTTTTAGGTAAGAATCTACCATTGGGTGGTACTTATTATGTCACCACCAAAAGTGGTGACATATTGTTATGGTCTCCGTTTTTTTGCGACGGCGTCCGGCGGTTGGCGTCCGGCGGTTGGCGTCCGGCGTCTGTAACAATTTCCTACAACTTCCTATAACTTAACAAATACTGTTTAGACTGACTTCAATTTTTTTCTAAATCATCTACATGTACCCAGAAGTTCAAATCTGACTAGATTTGACATTTGACCTTCAATGACCTTCTCAAGGTCAAAAGGTCTTTTTTCAAGTTGCTTCACATTGACTAAATTTTTTTTCAAAATCATCTACATGTTCTCAGAAATTCAAATCTGACTTTAGATTTGACTTTAGATTTGACATTTGACCTTCAAATCTGACTTTAGATTTGACATTTGACCTTCAATGACCTTCTCAAGGTCAAAAAAGGTCAAAAAGGTCTGTTTTCAACTTGCTTCAAATTGACTAAATTTTTTTTTCAAAATCATCTGCATGTTCTCAGAAATTCAAATATGACTTTAGATTTGACATATGACCTTCAATGACCTTCTCAAGGTCAAAAAGGGTCAAAAAGGTCTTTTTTCAACTTGCTTCAAATTGACTAATTTTTTTTTTCAAAATCAGCTACATGTTCTCAGAAATTCAAATCTGACTTTAGATTTGACATTTGACCTTTAATGACCTTCTCAAGGTCAAAAAAGGTCAAAAGGTCTGTTTTCAACTTGCTTCAAATTGACCAAATTTTTTTTTCAAAATCATCTACATCTTTTCAGAAGTTCAAATTTGACTTTACAAGTTCTCAGAAGTTCAAATCTGACTTTAGATTTGACCTTTGACCTTCAATGACCTTCTCAAGGTCAAAAAGGTCTTTTTTCAACTTGCTTCAAATTGACTAATTTTTTTTCAAAATCATCTTCATGTTCTCAGAAGTTCAAATCTGACTTTAGATTTGACATTTGACCTTCAATGACCTTTTCAAGGTCAAAAAGGTCTTTTTTCAACTTGCTTCAAATTTACTCAATTTTTTTCAAAATCATCTACATGTTCTCAGAAGTTCAAATCTGACTTTACATTTGACCTTCAATGACCTTCTCAATGTCAAAAAAAGTCAAAGAGGTATTTTTTCAACTTGCTTCAAATTGACCAATTTTTTTTTCAAAATCATCTACATGTTCTAAGAAGTTCAAATCAAACCCTCTTAAGGTCAAAAGGTATTTTCCAACTTGCTTTAAATTGACCAAATTGTTTTAGGTGGTGACATTTTGTCATGTTAATGCCTTGTGTCATATTGCATTAAATGTACAACTGCACAAACTCAATACAGGACGTGTTCCCTGTGTCTGTGTTGCTAACCGTCTCTTGAAGCAAATGCTTTTTAGGTAAGAACTTACCATTGGATGGTACTAAATGTCATATTGCATTAAATGTACAACTGCACAAACTCAATACAGGACGTGTCCCTCGTGTCTGTGTTGCTAACCGCCTCTTGAAGCAAATGCTCTTTAGGTAAGAACCTACCATTGGATGGTACTAAATGTCATATTGCATTAAATGTACAACTGCACAAACTCAATACAGGACGTGTTCCCCGTGTCTGTGTTGCTAACCGTCTCTTGAAGCAAATGCTCTTTAGGTAAGAACCTACCATTGGATGGTACTAAATGTCATATTGCATTAAATGTACAACTGTACAAACTCAATACAGGACGTGTTTCCCGTGTCTGTGTTGCTAACCGCCTCTTGAAGCAAATGCTCTTTAGGTAAGAACCTACCATTGGATGGTACTAAATGTCATATTGCATTAAATGTACAACTGCACAAACTCAATACAGGACGTGTTCCCCGTGTCTGTGTTGCTAACCGTCTCTTGAAGCAAATGCTCTTTAGGTAAGAACCTACCATTGGATGGTACGTAATGTCATATTGCTTTAAATGTACAACTGCACAAAATACAGGACGTGTTCCTCGTGTCTGTGTTGCTAACCGTCTCTTGAAGCAAATGCTCTTTAGGTAAGAACCTACCATTGGATGGTACTTAATGTCATATTGCATTAAATGTACAACTGCACAAACTCAATACAGGACGTGTTCCCCGTGTCTGTGTTGCTAACCGTCTCTTGAAGCAAATGCTTTTTGGGTAAGAACTTACCATTGGATGGTACTAAATGTCATATTGCATTAAATGTACAACTGCACAAACTCAATACAGGACGTGTTCCTCGTGTCTGTGTTGCTAACCGTCTCTTGAAGCAAATGCTTTTTAGGTAAGAACTTACCATTGGATGGTACTAAATGTCATATTGCATTAAATGTACAACTGTACAAACTCAATACAGGACGTGTTCCCCGTGTCTGTGTTGCTAACCGTCTCTTGAAGCAAATGCTCTTTAGGTAAGAGTCTACCATTGAATGGTACTGAATGTCATATTGCTTTAAATGTACAACTGCACAAAATACAGGACGTGTTCCCCGTGTCTGTGTTGCTAACTGTCTCTTGAAGCAAATGCTCTTTAGGTAAGAGTCTACCATTGAATGGTACTGAATGTCATATTGCTTTAAATGTACAACTGCACAAAATACAGGACGTGTTCCTCGTGTCTGTGTTGCTAACCGTCTCTTGAAGCAAATGCTTTTTAGGTAAGAACTTACCATTGGATGGTACTAAATGTCATATTGCATTAAATGTACAACTGCACAAACTCAATACAGGACGTGTTCCCCGTGTCTGTGTTGCTAACCGTCTCTTGAAGCAAATGCTTTTTAGGTAAGAACTTACCATTGGATGGTACTAAATGTCATATTGCATTAAATGTACAACTGCACAAACTCAATACAGGACGTGTTCCCCGTGTCTGTGTTGCTAACCATCTCTTGAAGCAAATGGTTTTTAGGTAAGAACTTACCATTGGATGGTACTAAATGTCATATTGCATTAAATGTACAACTGCACAAACTCAATACAGGACGTGTTCCCCGTGTCTGTGTTGCTAACCGTCTCTTGAAGCAAATGCTTTTTAGGTAAGAACTTACCATTGGATGGTACTAAATGTCATATTGCATTAAATGTACAACTGCACAAACTCAATACAGGACGTGTTCCTCGTGTCTGTGTTGCTAACCGTCTCTTGAAGCAAATGCTCTTTAGGTAAGATACTTAATGGCATATTGCATTAAATGTAAAACTGCACAAACTCAATACAGGACGTGTTCCCCGTGTCTGTGTTGCTAACCGTCTCTTGAAGCAAATGCTTTTTAGGTAAGAACTTACCATTGGATGGTACTAAATGTCATATTGCATTAATGTACAACTGCACAAACTCAATACAGGACGTGTTCCCCGTGTCTGTGTTGCTAACCGTCTCTTGAAGCAAATGCTTTTTAGGTAAGAACTAACCATTGGATGGTACTAAATGTCATATTGCATTAAAAGTACAACTGCACAAACTCAATACTGGACGTGTTCCCCATGTCTGTGTTGCTAACCGTCTCTTGAAGCAAATGCTCTTTAGGTAAGAATCTCATTGGGAATGGTAGTAAACATCTAATAGCATCGCTTCATTCTTAGTGGTTTAGAAATTCAGTAAACATAAACCAAGAATAGTTTTGAAGGATTTAAAATTGAAATGCATGAAAAAATGAGCAAGTGTAAGACCCTGAATATTATTCTATTATGGAAATAATCTGTATTCTGTACAGTATTATGATTGGTTTAGAACCTCACTGATCAGTCAGTATTAGGAGAAGGTAACAGCATTGCTTCCTAGTCAACTCGTACCTGCTCTTTCAAAATGGTGATGAAAAACATGCTGAATATCAAAAGTAACATAAACTGTCTCTCAGTGAACCTAAGATATAATTTTTTATGTTATTTATTAAAAATGTATTTGCTAATACACTTTTAGCAGTGGCACAAATTTCAAATTTATTAGCTTTATTGTATTTCAATCCCCATCAGGGGTCATATACAAAGCATACAACTAACTAACTACAAACTACTTTAAGTACAAAATGAAATATAAATGTGTAATGCCACTAGTATATGTGAATAAATACATACTAGTATATATATGTGGCTAGTAGACATAGCATAAGTGACAAAGAATATAGAAGTTAGACTACCAAGGGTCATGACATATTATTGATAAACTGGCTTTGTTTATTGTTATATCGCATGATGAAATAAATTTTGCGACCACTTTTTTTTGCGACGACCACATACAATGTAACATTGTAGTGCAGCATTTATACATTTACAACTATAGTAAAACAAACATATTAAAATCTAGTTAATGAAAACACAGAATGAAATCCTGTGCTAAGTGCTGATGTGAAAAAGTCAGTCCACCCCAGTGGGGATCGAACCCATGACCCTTCACTTAAAAGGTGATTGCTCTCCCACTGAGCTATAGGTCTTACAGGCTTTCCACATCAACATGGCATTTATAGCATTGCATCCATGTCTTGCATGCCCAGTTTCCTGGACCCCATATAAGTAACCTGTCTTTCCAGGTTGTCAATCATCTACAGTACAGTATAATGTACAAGATAAAATATATATAATGTACAAGATTTTTAGCTTTTCTCGGTTCTATGATAATATATATCATTATTACAAGTAATGCCTAAAGAGTACATCTGATTTCAGTTTACTATATTTACTTTGATTTGTAGATACCACGGCCACATAAGTTCTGCGTTGGTGTAGGGAGGGGTTGACAACACAGGCCCACATTTATACAGTGTATATCCCCATTGGTGTAGAAAACATACCGTTAGCACAATGGGCTTCTAATTCATTTCAGTATACTATATGTACTTTGATTTGTAGATACCAAGGTCACATAAGCGCAGCGTTGGTGTTGGGAGGGGTTGACAACACAGGCCCACATTTATACAGTGTGTATCCCCATGGATCTACAGATAAACTACCATACGTTACCATGGGTATGTAATGTTTGAGCAAATATATGATCCAATATGTTAATCTTTAGGCATAAGATTCAAAAGTTAGCTTTTGTGTAAACCTGGGTTCATTTCCCTTTGAGAGATTATAGCCTTTTTCTTGTTACTTGCAAGGCTGAGTTAGATGAGTTTCAGTGTCTCATTTGCCCATTGAAAAGCTGACGGTTCTAAAATAGCAATCAACATGTACAATAAATCCCTTTAAAGGCAGAATCAGATCTATGGGGGTGACAAAATTACAAGCAATGTGTACAATTGACCTGCCAATCTATTCCTTATAATCTCGAATACAATATCTCCCAAAACGTTCATAAGCAATTAACATGTACAATAAAACCTATTAAGTTAGTAAAACACTATTAGTTTCACTTTAAAATCTTCCAATAAGAAGGTATTCTCCCTTCAATAAGGAGGTGTTCTTCCCTCAATAAGGAGGTGTTCTTCTTTCAATAAGAAGGTGTTCTCCCTTCAATAAGGAGGTGTTCTTCCTTCAATAAGGAGGTGTTCTTCCTTCAATAAGGAGGTGTTCTTCCTTCAAAGTTCTGTTATGTTCAAGTTTAAATCAGTTGGTCCCTGGACTGGGAAAAATGCTTGTTTTCTAGAAGTAATTTACTTACAAAGATGTTCCACATCTAGAGGTATTCCGCTTGATAGATTTTACTTTATGTTATGTTTTGCCATCTTTTACAGGATCTGGGTCTCTAGCTGCGATGTCAGTGTTTGAAGATGGCTATAAGCCAGATATGGAGGTATGGGACTTGGTCTTAGTTCTTCCGCGCAGTATCAATAATACATTAACGACAGGAACCTTAGCTTCAACATGACAGAATGAATTGCTTTTCTCAAACTTTTTCGTTTCCATCAGTTTAAATGACTTTTATCAAGTATTAGCTTAAACATTCTGGACATGTGAAGCATATTTTCACCAAGGTTCCTCTGAGATATGAAAGCTTTCCAATCTTTGAAAAAATAGAAATTAGTGAAATTGTTAGATTCTTGTCTGTCATTCTGTAGCAGAATGTAACAACCATCAATGCATACTGTAGATACACTTAATTTGGCTTCCGTTTTAAGTTGGGGGATTCAGAAAAACTGCCAAATTAAAATTCTGTCAAATTTTAGTTTGGAATTTTTGTCCAATGCACTTCAAAAATTAAACTCCATGGGCCCCTTTTCCTGTCAACATGTCATCAATTCTACATTGTTCAAAGCAAATACAGAAAATATCTCAGTAAATACCTGTCCTAATGACATAAACATCTACAAAAATTAAACTCCAGTCCTGAATCCGCCAAATTAAATAGCCACCAATATTTGAAATTGAGCAAATCCGTCAAATTAAGTAGCGTCAAAGTAAGTGTATCTACAGTATTAATTCTGACTAGTGATAACGCTGTATCTGATAATATTTAAAGGTCTCAGTTTACTCAGAAAGATATTTTAAGGTTGAATTTAACTCAAAAGTTGTAAGAAAACTAATGTTACAAGTGATTGAATAAAGGCATAAAACATTTCCACATTTCAAATATCCATTTAAATGTTTTCTAAAAATGTGTCACAACTTGTTTATGTGATTTAAAACATAAAAATGAAAACTCCACGTTGCTCTTATAGATGGAGGATGCCATGAAGCTTGTCCGCGATGCAATTGCTGCTGGTATATTTAATGATCTTGGCTCAGGTAGCAACGTAGATCTGTGCGTCATCAAGAAAGACCTCAAAGTGGATTATCTTAGACCATATGATGAGGCCAACCAGAAAGGAATAAGGTAGGTTCAATGAAAATTAAAATTTTGTGGTGTTGTTAAAAAAAAATTCATTGCCATATTTGTGTAATTTGATTTCGAAGTTCTTATATCAGAAATGAATAAGGTAGGTTCAATGAAAATTAGAATTATATGGTGTTAAAGAAAATTCATTGTCACATTTGTGAAATTTGAATTCGTAGTTCTTATATATCAGAAATGAACTTTTATTTGAAATGAGAGCAAGAACCACTGCTAATTCAAATGAGACAATAAATAACTAGAAATTAGATTAAACCTAATAGTGATGACATATTGTTATAGTGTCCAACTTTTTTTGTGGATTGTGTTCGGCAGTTGGTGTTTGGTTGTCAGCAGTTTGTGTTCAGCATGTTTTTGCATGTTACTCGTTTGTTGTGGCTGGGGTCGTTTGTAAGAAATTAAATTACAGCAAATAGTGACATTTTTCATGTTAATGTTTTGTTGTGTCACTATTTGTGTCTCAATCAGTACTTTGACTTTCTAGGTTCCTAAAATGAACTGCTTAATTCTTTTTTCAGACAAGGAAAGTACACATACAAACGTGGAACTACTGGAGTTCTAACATCAGAGGTGAAGAAATTGCCAGTTCTTGTGACCTCATCTAAAGTGAAGTCAACAGAAAGTTCCATGGACACTTCATGAGCAGTATAACTGCCAAGCAAATAGCAACATTCGAAACATTTGACATTTCACTTATCTCATGATAATCACTTTTTCAGTTATTTTGATTGAAATTGAATGTACGTGGGTAAATGAAATAATTTTTTCTAAAACATAAGAATGAAGCCTGCTAAATGTATCCCATGTGTGTAAGTCTTTTATCACTGCCCAGGGATAAAAACACTCAGATACCAGTGAAACTGAAAATAAACAAGTTTGTCAGTGACGGTCAGACAAGTTGAAAATGTTAATTCAATGAGAATTTAACAATTTTTATTAGATTAGTATGAGACATTTTTGTAAAGTAATTAATTAAATATTTTTCATAATTTCGATGACTCTATCAGGTTGAGAAATGAAATTGAGAAAAAATCCACCATTCACGTTGAACTTCATTGTATTGCCAAATCCTATTTCTGGATATATCTTGTGTAGCTATATATTCATATCATAAAAGGAACATTTGTATATAGGCTAATATTTAGAATAAAATTCTATGTCCTAAGAAAAACATTTGTTATTTCTACTTATTCCCAATATATCTGGTATGAGACTTGGCAGAAAAAATACAAAAGATAGACTTATAACAAACACCAATAAACATTGGAAAGTTGGAACGTTTTTGAGCAACCTGTATTTAAAACAGTTGTCATGGCAACTTGATCATGCACAGATGTTCTTTTCTCAGTTGTCGTGTAATCGTCTGTGCTACTATATTTAATTAAGTATCTCGAAGACCAAATGCGTGATTAAAGATGTGCCTTATTGTCTCGGTTTAGAAATCCGACTGCTTCTAAAAGGAAATGTAACATCCACTAGCTTCAAGTTTTACCCAAACGTTTTACCCTGTTAGTTAAAAGCATGCGAGTTGTATTTCACTTTTTGTAAAAGGATTATATTAAGATTTTGCGTATCTGACTCAATACTAGTTACAGGAGAGTAAATTCTTCTTAATTAGTTCAATGAGAAATCAAATTCATGAGCATGAAAATCAAAGGATAGGTATCGATATGGTGAACTGAATTCAATAATGTTTTTCTCTTAAACCAATTATTGAAAACATTCTGTAAAAAAAACAGATCCTTTATGTAATGTTGACTGATTGGCAACAATTTAATGCCAAAATTATTTATATATATTTTTGTTAACATTTTTTGTTTTTTAGTGCAATTGTTTTTGTTCCTTTCTACCAATTCTTGAGAATGGAATAAAATGTGTTTCCGAACCTTGTTGTAACAAAATAGCATATACAACATTTGCTTAGACCTCTCAATATTACAGTTATATAAAGGAAATTTTGATGCAAAAACTTAAAACAAAACCTCCAAAATACATTAAAATTAAGATAAACATTTTATTTCATTAACAAGATACTTTTTTAAATCAACCAAACTTTCCTTTGTACAATTACGATATTGAGACACCTAAACACATTGTGTTTATGTCGTTTTGTTCCAGTGACAAATTATAATGTAACCATCCAAAAGATGACCATTAAATTAACGATGTATAAATTTTCAGAATGTTTTGATGACTGGTTTAAGAGAAACGCGTGCTCAAAAAGTTCACCATGTATCGAAACCACTCCTTTCTGTATTTATGGATGTCCACCGCAATTACCATGGTCATTCACTTAGTAAGGGGTACAGACAAAATGTTAATGTTTTTATAATTAGTTAAAGCATCAGGAGGTACATGTAGTGCATGTATTTGAGGAAATCTGTCTAATAATCGGTTTGAAAATGTATTTCATCAAAATCATTACCAAGATTTTCCACTTAGTGAACTATTTTGTGTGAGTATTTTGTATATTTTTTTGTGTTGGATAAAACACTTATTTTACTGGCATGCGTCGAGTACCAGACTAAGATTACCTTAACAACCATAATTGAGACGATTCTCAGTGGTATCTGCAGGATATAAATTAGTTATTCACCAGGAGGGATTTGATATGTGTAATATCACAAAGATGGTATCAATATTTCCCGAGGGAACGCAGTGATCCGACGGGTGAATTACCTTATTTATTCCAAACTTAGTAATGTTATAGGTAAATAACTTGCGGGAATATTATTGATATCTGAGGCGAGCGGGATATATACAGGATATCACATGATTTTGAGTGATATCATTTTTATCGCCGAGTTCATATCAAATATCAACACGAGTGAGCGAAGCGAATGAGTGTTGATATTTGATATCTACGAGGCGATAAAATGATATCACGAGAAATTATGTGATATTGGGTTTATCCAATGATTACAATTCGCCAATTCTTCGTCAGACTAATTTGCACCGGCCATTTTGATTTGTACTTTACTCACTGGGCAGTAATATGCACTACTTTCTGTACATGATATAGTTCGTCATAAATACCATTTCTACGGATATGCGTGAGATAAACGATATCACACGCATATGAGTTTGATAAACGATTTTCTGGAAAATATCACACGGATTTTAATAATATCAGAAATATCAATAGCTGTTATAGTACAGATAACACATTAAGCATGGGATAAATAAGGGTTATGTACTGGGAGGTTTTGGATATGGGGTTTATCCAGAGGGAGATATGCATATCTCACGAGGGATGAACCCAATATCCAATAATAACTGCTTTATCATATACCAAGTAGATCGAATTGATCGAATATCACATGAAGATATATTTGATATGTGGATCAAGATATCATATTTTAGCAAAATATTCACGAACCATCGAATATCACTTTTAAACTATCGAATATCACGTCTTAAAAAGTGATATTCGATAGTTTGAAAAGTGATATTCGATGGTTTAGAATTTTTTCAAAAAAAATTCATTTTTCATTCTTTAATTATTTTCAAAAATATCTTTTTTAAAAATTCAAAATTTCAAAAAAAAAATTCAACATTTTTTCACAATTTTTTTTCAATTATTTTTTCAATTTTTTTTCTCAAATTATATTTTTATGCGCTCACTCATGAAGATATCAATATCCACTCATGGATATAAATGATATTTTTTCAAAACCATAAGATATTCCTATAATATATATATCTCCCGCTGAGGTTAGCGGGAGATATATATATCACCCGCTAAACAATTCCCGGTAATTTCGTTTTATGTTAAACGTTCTTGAGTTTTTAAAAACAATGACTGTCAAAACCTTTACATTTAGATACGATATTTATGTTTTTATTGTTATCATTTGTAATTATTACTTAAGGGTTCTACAACATTCAATGCATACTTTAATATAATGTACACAATTTATGTAAAAATGTAAGCGGCTTAAAGAGATCCAGGCGTCCAGATTTCTATTCTGGACAATCAGTAATGTCCCAATATAATTGCTCATAAAACATGATATATACCTTAGATATATCTTGAGACCAAATCATAAGCACAATATCACCAATATATTGAGGAAATCAACAGGACAACCAACAGAACAACCAACTGTCAGAATTGAACGCAATAAGTTGAAAACAATGTACAATGTTTTTTGGAGTAATAAATATGGCTTCTCTGAGCCAAAACAATCTGTTGAAACTGAAGGTAGAGGCCAATCAGACTGGAACAAATTTGAGCGGGCTTTTTAAATTTTATTTTTAATTTCTACTGATGAAAGTGGATATTCATGGCTAGGAACAATCATCGAATTGATACTGTTAACGAATTAATTCAAGCCTCAGAATTGGTAAGTTGATAAACAAACTTGTTTTATATCAAATAACACGAAAAAATCAGGGGGTTACTCTAATTGTGTTTTAGGAGACCCGATCTTTTTAACAGAACATTGGGAGTAAACAGAGTTGTGTAGAGAATGTGATTGGTCACATCAATGCTTTTAAGGTTGTAGGTACACTATTCGCCACCCACTACAACATCTGGAAAAGCTCATATCTGGAAAAGCATCTTGAAATTATTTTGGTTAAAATGTTTGTTTTGGTTAAATTGTGTTTAGATAATATGTTTTAATGTTGCTATATTCTAAAGAGTTCACATTTTGTGTTTTTAGCTTTGAACCTATTGATTTATCAATTACACCCTATAATAAAGTTTTAATGCTACTGAACTTATGAAATGACCCCTGTAATCTGATTTTCATTTTCCCTGTAATGCATGCCTGGGTCACATTTGCTCCGATCCATCGGCCGACGCCCGGCCAATTGAGCGTTTTGTTCAATATATGTAGTGTATTCAATTATGAACAAAATACTCAATCGGCCGGGCGCCTTAGTGAAAATTGGAGCAAATTTGACCATTGCATAAAGCTCACTTTCAGATTCCGAATAGCTTCAACATCCCTATTAGCACACAGCTTGGCATATGAAATATCCTCCAAATGAAACAAAACATTTCTTATACAAGAATTTATATTGGCTGTTGCACATGTATTCTTTGAACAATCACGCTCTCAATTATGGTTCCAGATTTATTATAAACGGATTACTTTATCTCCAAGACAATTTTAATGAACTGAACTAGAAATGGACTGATCCATTCGACTCGCCTGGTGCCGCCATATTGATTTTATATGGGAGGTTAATCGGAACTATAACTATAATATTGAGAGGTCTAAGAATATGTTGTATATGCTATTTTGTTCCAACAAGGTAAGGAAAGACATTTTATTTTATTCTCAAGAATTCGTAGAAAGGAACAAAAAATAATTGCTCTAAAAAACAAAAAATGTTAACAAAAACAGTTATATAAAATATAAATCAATAATTTTCGCATTAAATCAGTCAACATTACATAAAAGACCGCCTTTTTACAGAATGTCTTCTATAATTGGTTTAAGAGAAAAAATATTATTGAATTCAGTTCACCGTATCGATATAAATATCCTTTCCTGAAAATACAATACAGGGTGTCCCGAATGTATGGGGCCCCCCCTAGGCAGAAATATACCAGTGTCGTCATAGTATGTGTCATATATCATTTTAAAGCTTATCCAAAGTTACATTGATTCGCCAAGTATCATGGTTCAACTCTCAAATGTGAAAAAATTACAGGCATTTCAAAATTTAGTGTTTGGTCAAAATTAAGTTCAATTTTACACCAAATCACTAGTCAAAGTGTCCTCACGGGCCATCTTAACAGCAGCAATTTTTTTCGGGTCGGATGGATATTGAGTTGGAAAAAGAGAATGATGAGGGTAGAAACTCTAAGGAAACTCTTCTAAAGTGCCTTAACAGGTTTTAAGAGGGTTATAAAATTCCACACCCCTATTTGAGGGGCTTTTAAGGTCATATCTGAAAATAATTGCTGCTGTTAACATGGCCAAGGGGGGACTCATTGACTAGTAATGTGGTGTAAAATTGAACTTTATTTTGACAAAACACTAACTTTTAAAATGACTGTAACTTTTTCCCATTTGGGAGTTAAACCATGATACTTGGCAAATCAATGTAACTTTGGATAAGCTTTAAAATGATATATGACACATACCATGAGGACACTGGAATATGTCTACCTAGGGGGGGCCCCATACTTTCGGGACACCCTGTATTGCCTTACAGATAGTCTCTTGGTCTAAGTATACAGCATTGGTAATGGCTAAACTAATTAATATTCTATCAACAATTAGCATATCACGGGCAGTTCAAGATGAATACTATAATATTTCGTAATGCATTTTTACAGGCTATTTTACAGTATTTATTTAATTTGTGTAGGTTTAATTTGTATTTAATTAATGTTCGCGATGTACGTACATGTAAATGAACATTTGTTATAATATGAAAACTACTAGATGGATAAACATTCACTCTCAAAATTAATAATCTCGTGTTGAAATGTACTGGTTATTAATTATAGAAACGTGATATTTATTACTTCATATTGTCTGTACATAATCTTTTGAAATCGGAACCATGAGACCGGAGGAACTATTTTCTCCCAAATACCGACTTGGACCACCAACTCGATACATTAGTATTTGGTTTGTTAGTGTACTTTTTTTGATCCAACCCCCATCCAACAATCCCGTCCATCAATTTTGTAGCTTCGGATTGTCGATTGGATGATCTGTTATTGATGACGACTTCCCTATTTCCACATTCGCGACGGAGTTCCTTTATTTCAGAAGGCGCATCACGAAAAACGTCTTCGAGCTCAATTCCATCTGCTTCCATGTCATCGCCATGGGTAATTACCAAGATGGTATGCTCAAACATTTCTTTCCCGAATACTCTTTGTATAATTTCCACTGTTTTCTGGTCGTCTTGTGTGAAAAGGGAGACATTTAAGACAAAACAGAAAATATGTGGACCACGAGGAATGTCACCAACACACGTCGCTAGATTCTTAATACGTTCATCCACACTCTCATACGAAGCTGAAAACCCAGGTGTGTCTACAACCAGCACTTCCTTTCCGCTAATCACTGTACGTCTGTATTCTGGCATTGTATTGATACTTGTTGACGGCAGACATGTCTTAAATTCCTTGCCTCCTCCTAGGATGGTATTTCCAGTACTGCTTTTTCCGGATCCTTTCAATCCGATGAGAATTATTCGGATTTCTCTGTCAATGTCATCTACAATTATGTTAAGCTTAATGTAACTCTTGCAAAATAAATAAGTACAGGGTGTCCCGAAAGTATGGGGCCCCCCTAGGTAGACATATTCCAGTGTCCTCATAGTATGTGTCATATATCATTTTAAAGCTTATCCAAAGTTACATTGATTTGCCAAGTATCATGGTTTAACTCCCAAATGGGAAAAAGTTACAGTCATTTTAAAAGTTAGTGTTTTGTCAAAATAAAGTTCAATTTTACACCACATTACTAGTCAATGAGTCCCCCCTTGGCCATGTTAACAGCAGCAATTATTTTCAGATATGACCTTAAAAGCCCCTCAAATAGGGGTGTGGAATTTTATAACCCTCTTAAAACCTGTTAAGGCACTTTAGAAGAGTTTCCTTAGAGTTTCTACCCTCATCATTCTCTTTTTCCAACTCAATATCCATCCGACCCGAAAAAAATTGCTGCTGTTAAGATGGCCCGTGAGGACACTTTGACTAGTGATTTGGTGTAAAATTGAACTTAATTTTGACCAAACACTAAATTTTGAAATGCCTGTAATTTTTTCACATTTGAGAGTTGAACCATGATACTTGGCGAATCAATGTAACTTTGGATAAGCTTTAAAATGATATATGACACATACTATGACGACACTGGTATATTTCTGCCTAGGGGGGGCCCCATACATTCGGGACACCCTGTATACAAATTATAAAGAAGTTGTAATAGCCAGGGGGCAATACAAATTTTTAATAGAGAAAAAACTGGAAGTATACATGCATATTTTGAAAAGGAAAGCTGTAGCCTACAGAAAGTTAACAATGTAACTATCCTGTATATATGTTTTATTCTTGAAATAAAGTTTAAAAAGTCTTGCAAAATACATATTATCATTTGAGACAGGTAACATGTATATCCCTTGAAATGATATTGAATGTTATAAGAAACATGATAACACTTTTAAGTAGGACGAGGTCAACCTAGGAGGTAGATGTTTCATAAATAAGAAATTAACATTCACGTTGCAGTTCCATTTAAACCATCAAGGTATGTCACTCTACTATACCTTGCATTTGGTGTTCATGAGCAACCCATTTGGTTTATTACTAATGAATGTGTATTTGTTTTTATTTGTCTGTTCCTTATGAATGGTTTATCGGATGACGTTAGATGTTAATAAGGTACTTTCAAAAATATACTAAACAATACAATTGGACAAACAGAGTATCTTATGCATTTCTAGGGGTTAAGTATAGTAGAGTGATGTATCATGAATGACAAAACCTATTGGCTTGCTACCGCTAGACATCAAGAAGAGTTTGCAAAATCAGACAAATAGTAATTGACGAAGGACAATTATTTTTCTAATAATATTAGAATGTGAGTATGTAGATTCTCGTATCAACTAATATTCTTAATTTTCAGAGAAAAAGGTATCCATGTGGTAGTGCAATTGGACGTCGACCTTTAACACCCCAGTCACATTTGTCGCACGGCGGCCGCAAGTCGACCGCAGAACAATTAAATCGGTGAATTTCTGCGGCGAGCGTAGAAAAACTACGCTCGCCTTGCGGCCTCCGTACGGCGTATGCAGATTTTTACAGGCCGCAGGGAAGGCGTAGAAATTATAACTCGGAGGTATAATATTTGTTCATTTCTGAGGTCCCCGTAGAAATCAACTGTCTCAACAAGATTGAATCATTATTTGTCAATGTTTCACGATCACTTTTCATTTGATATTACATCCTAGCACTTTGAATAACATTTATAAATTGTCCTGATGTAAATAAAATGAAAAAAAACTATTATTTATCAATAGAAATTTAAAATTCACCGTGCGGCTGCCGTGGGAAATGTGACTGCAAAAGTATGAGAGCGCAGAAATTCTGCGGCGAGCGTAGAAAAGCTACTGGCCGCAGAAATGATAGACCGCAAGGTCGCCGTAGGAAATGTGACTGGGGTGTAAGTAACAAAATAACATACAACAGACATTTTACTAATGCATATAAGAATTTATTTTTTTTATTTTGACATACCCATGCGTCATTTTGAATAGCTTATAGGTTAATATCAGACTAATTAAAGATTTATTATGTTTAATATATACTTGAAATGGTTCTCGTTTTCTCATGGATAAGAGTTAATCACATGACTTAAAATATGATTGTTTATTCCCATGTTGCATCTGAAGCCTCAATTAACGAAATATAAAATAACTTTACAACTTGGTTTGTCTCCATCGGGATTTTGGTCATAACAGTGTTTGTGAATTGTGCTCTAGAGATTATTCATATTACATCCCAGTCACATTTCCTACGGCGACCTTGCGGTCTATCATTTCTGGGGCCAGTAACATTTCTACGCTCGCCGTGGAATTTCTGCGCTCTCATACTTCTGCAGTCACATTTCCCACGGCAGCCGCACGGTGAATTTTAAATTTCTGTTGATTTTTTATACTTTTTTCATTTTATTTACATCAGGACAATTTATAAATGTTATTCATAGTGCTAGGATGTAATATCAAATGAAAAGTGATCGTGAAACATTGACATATAATGATTCAATCTTGTTGAGCCAGTTGATTTCTACGGGGACCTCAGAAATGAACAAATATCATAACTCCGAGTTATAATTTCTATGGCGACCCTGCGGCCTATAAAAAACTGGATACGCCGTACGGAGGCCGCAAGGATTTAATCGATCTGCGGTCGACGCACGGCCTCCGTACGACAAATGTGACTGGGGGTGTAACATTTCTACGCTCGCCGTGGAATTTCTGCGCTCTCATACCTTTGCAGTCACATTTCCCACGGCAGCCGCACGGTGAATTTTGAATTTCTGTTGATAAATAATACTTTTTTCATTTAATTTACATCGGGACACTTTATAAATGTTATTCATAGTGCTAGGATGTAATATCAAATGAAAAGTGATCGTGAAACATTGACAAATAATGATTCAATCTTGTTGAGCCAGTTGATTTCTACGGGGACCTCAGAATATTAATATTATAACTCCGATTTATAATTTCTACGGCGACCCTGCGGCCTGTACAGAACTGGATACGCCGTACGGAGGCCGCAAGGCGAGCGTAGTTTTTCTACGATCGCCGCAGTAATTCACCGATTTAATAGATCTGCGGTCGACTTGCGGCCGCCGTGCGACAAATATGACTGGGGTGTTACCACTGACTCGGTTTGCTGAAATAAACATTCTTCCAAATAATTTTAAATGTAGTGGTTACCTTGTAGTGTCTGTTCATCTGGGAATCCAGTTGCCACAACATTTGTTTTGTCAACTTCAATTTGACCCTGGAAATGAGTAAAAACTACTAGAATATGGTATTAAACTAAATATTCAATATCCATGGATATATTTGTATGGGACAAACTAAAATGCTATACATTTTATTGTGCTATGTATTATTTAATGTACAAGTGTCAGTTTGTCATTTTGGTATAAAATTCCAAGAATAATTTTGTGATCAACTGAAACAACATCACATAATCTGAAGGCCAGTGACTTGTACAAAAATATATATACAAGCACACAGAATGACATGTGAGTCTTCCTTGACGATTCCATTTGAATTTTTACTCTTTATTTTGTATCTTTTGAAACAGTCACTAGACCGTCGTCCTAAGAGTTGTAACTCCCATTCGGCCATTGATGCCATAGCACCAACTGACCACCCATCTATCCTATAACTATGACCACAGTAGTTTACTGGATTAACTCCTATCAACGATAAATTAGTCCGCGTGTGATCAATGAACAATTGTCTAGATAACAAAGTACCATATCTTGTAACTGAAACAGAGGGGAATTTACATTGTTGTTCAATTTCAAATTGTTTTTCATTGCACACACAGCACAGACTTTTTGATTTGTACATCCTATTACTATTTCAACACCAGTCCCGATTGCATCTGTTTTGGAATATTTTTGCATGACCTTCATACAAGGCTCGTTAACGAATGAAACATCTCTCCTGCTCAAGTCTCTAGAAGGGTTAAAATGTAAAGGAATTTTTACAGTAACTTCTGCACATCTTAATAGTGCTAAAAAAGCTAATGTCATTGCAGACCAGTAAGTTATGGTACCATGATCATGGTTGCGGTGAATCAAAATTTTCTAACTACGCTTTGCGCATGACGGATATCACTCAAATGTAGCACATGCATTTATACTAAAAGATGTCAGGTGTGTTCAAATGTACGTTCAACTAATAAGTTAGATAAGTAAGATATATGCATCATTCGGAATAAAAATCAATTTACACAATATAAATAACGATTTATTAACAGAATTTGAGTCATTAACATGAAATCAGAAATGACAAAAAGCTCACGCATAATGCTTACCCTAGTTAAAATGCTTACGCATAGGTAAAACAATATTAAATGCAGCTAAATAAGAATTTGACTCTTGGTAGATAATCGAATGATCTAATGCTTGTAAGAATATTATACTTATAAGGTAATATTTAGTATGTCTACTAAACCTTGTCCATTACTTTTGAATCACCCCTCGGATTTCTACTTTTGACAATATCTAACGTAGACCCATGATGCGACCATCTTAGAAACACATTCTCGGATAGTCTTTCTTTCGTACTCGGGTTTTTAGTATAGACGAATATTTACTGTGACACATGAATAAATAAAAATATATAACTCACCTCTCGTTTGCTAGGATCAAGATCTTTGTGTTTCTTTCTCGGGTTATAGGCTATAGTCGTAGGCGATTCATTGACGTCGACCATGGGAACATCCCCGACGACTACTGAACTACTCCACTAAAAAGTGCATAATTTAATATCGAAATATCCATTACACATTTATATTTCAAATCAAACAAATAAGCTGCTTTTCAATTGAAATTAGAATGTCTTATATCCTCATGTTTGACATGTACTTTGTTTCGTTTGTTCAAAATATTACATTTTGTATATTCTTTTATTTCTGAAATATACAGTTTTGATGCAATGATACTAAAGCATATTTAGAAAAATCACGTAGTATATTGCAAATAAGTTTGGACACTCGTTCACTAGGAGAATTGTTGGACCACATATTCCTCGATTGACGTTTAAAAAAATGACACAATCTTAGTATTGGTTAATTCAGACATTGATCAATTCAGAATTTACGTGTATATTAAAATGACTCTATACATATTTTCAGCCTTTCGCCATAGTGAGGTCTTACTTCTGATCTCCATTGTAATAAATTGATTGATACATATCATTATTTCATTAGATAACAGCTCATTACTGAAATAATAGTTTCGATCCGTCAATTTTTGTATATAAAATTGTTACCAATTTCAATGAAAGATGACGTAGTTGTTTTAATCACATGGCTCATTTATCAATCATACACCATCGTTTAATTCAAAAGCTATTTAAAACATATACTTTGTGAAAAATGGACATGCACTCTGTATTTCAAATGCTGTTTTCTAATTATTTTTTCTTAGATCAGCATCAACCAAATAAGATTTGTATCATATATGTATCATAAAATGTGTATTACCTTTGCTAAGAGCTTTTTGAACGCTTCTCCGAGTGTTGTGCCTATGGTTTTGGCTAGACGTGAAACGAGATCGCGGAAAAAGTCCTTGTCTTTCTCTGTTGAAAGAGGGTTGTTTTCCTTTTCTTCGGGAGTTAACATATTCGTCTGTCTTCTATAGGACTCTAAAATTTCCATTGTACCATTCGGATCTGTGTAATAAGCATTAGTGATTTCCAATCGAGTGATAGATTCTAGAAAATGTTCTCTTGAAGGACGAGGATTTCTATTGTTTACGACGATGACTCTTTGTTTGCAATCTTCATAAAGTTTTTTTAATGAGCCAGGCGCAGATAGCAATAAATCATCGAACGTCATCTGTTCGTGTTCCAGGTCATCTCCCCGTGTGCATACAATTACAGCATGTTCCAGAAATCCACCACCAAATAATTGCTTCGTAACATCGATAACTTTGCCATCTTCTTCTGTAAAACGAGGTGGAGAAATAACGATGCAAAAAACATGTGGACCTGGCGCTGACAGATCAAGGCATTTGACAACCCGCTCCAACAGCTCCTCCTCACATAAGCTAGTGTCCATGAAGCCTGGTGTGTCTATCACAACAACGTCCCTGCCCTCATGGTGAGTACGTCCTACTGAGCATTGTTTTGACTCAGAGCTGAATTTGGAGGACGAAATAAATGAATTTGGACCAACAAGCGTGTTGCCAGTGCTACTTTTACCGACACCTGTCTTTCCGAGAAGTACGATTCGAAGATCTGAAATTCATATAGGTTCGTCAAAGTATATTCAATCATACAGGGTTTAGACAATGTCAATTTGTTTGTCTGTTCTTCTAACAGTTAAGTCAATGGTATGAATTTTTTGAGACACCCTGTATATATATATACAGGATGGTCAAAAAAACTGGAAACCCTTACACCATTTCCTCATATTTTTGTCATTTTAAGAAATAACTCCCTGATATTTTGCACATTTGTACATCATTCAATTTCCTACCAGCCTACTTCATTTCATGACCATCGGATTGATAGTCACAATGTTACAGCACTTTACCGAACATGCCCTAGTGGCCACTATTGCGCTGTCGGGCCACCTGCACTCGCCGTCCAAAATGTCCCTACCTGTAGGGATATGGCAAGGAAAAAGTGGATGAGAATGACCTCAGGACAATCACAAACATCAAAAGTGAGATCGTCCGTATCATTCAGGCCATATTTGCTGAGGAATGCATTCGGCCCATTGACAACTGTGCAGGTTTGCCTACAGCGCGATGATGGCCTAACTTGAAGCATGTTATTCAAAGTGCTGTAAAATTGTGACTATCAGTCTGATGGTCATGAAACTTGGTAGGGTGGTAGGAACTTGAATGATGTACAAATGTATTTCAATATCAGGGAGTCATTCCTTAAAATGACTAAGATATTAGGAAAATGCAGGGTTTCCATTTTTTTTGACCACCCTGTAGTATAATATGCATTTATTTTTCGCAGCCAGAAACTACTCGCAAAAATTGTCAACCGTCAAAAATCTGGTATACAAACTTCCGCGACCCTTTGCTCTCACGGTATCTATTCAGTAAGAAATTCAACAAAATATATTACAAACAATTATTATAACAAACACAAATAATCAGGTCAATTATCTGCAAATGATTCAGGAGTTACCTTCCAGAGTTAGGCAGGCTAGCCTGGAGACCAAATGATATCCAAATGAAAACACAGTGGTCTCAAATTGATACACACAACAAAGGCTACACTTGAATCCCAACCAATGCAGTTTCTTGAACCTCTGACCTCTCTGTGTAAGGGAGCTATAAGACATTGTGAGGGCCTCCCTATTCACCACATTTGACGGCCCATACTTTTTTCTCTGAGGCTATTTGAAGGACCATTTTTATGCTAAACCCAAGCTAAGAAACCTAGAACAACTTAAGGCCAGCATCCAAACAGAAATCAAAACATTCCACCAGAAATATTAAATGTGATGAACAATGTAGTAGTAAGGGATGCAGACTGTCATCGAAATATGAGATTACATTGAATATGTGGTGTAAAAGGTAACGGGTTAAAGTATCAAAAAGGCAAAGCTGAATTAAAAACTGTGTATAGGGGAAAAAAATGTCATCTTTTTTCTACAAGACCATGCTAATATGTCTGAAAATATTGATTGGTTTGTCTATGCTGTTGATATACTTTTGGGTACATTTTTTGAGACACCCTATATATATACGTACAAAGGAAAATTGTATAGTCTTGAAGGAAAGTTCAAAGAATGATATTAATATAAATTGGATTCTTTGAAAATTAAAAATTTGGCTTTCATATGCATTCACTCACAGCTAGAAAAAAAACTCGCAAAATTGTCAAAAACCGGTTGCATAAATGACGACAGGCCTATTTAATGAAAATAAAGCTCATTATTAAGTTGAGTAACATTGGCTCCGGGTACTGATCCACACAAAAAAACTTTTAACGGGCCCCAAATTGATCTCTGTTGAGCCTGTCATGCAGTTGTCCGATTATCATTTGCTGGCACGTCTCGTTCACTTGGATATTTATAGTGCTGTATTTAACGTCAGAATCAGATATTTAGGGTGTTACAAAATTGCACAAAATTGATAATATATAATAATTATTATATTATCTAAAGAAAATGAGTTCGATTTGTCATAATTAATGTTTTTCTGTTATCTCTGATCTGATTTCAGCTGATTTGAAAACATTAAGAACACAAATAGACAATGTTCTTTACAATATCTTATCAGAGTATCTGAATATATGAATAGTTCAAAGAATGAATATGTTTCAGTTGAGAATAGGCGTATTCTTTTATTGTTCTTGACCTAAACATATTCCTCAACCATATCATAATGTAGAATAACACAGAAAATGGGTATTCATATGATTGCTGTGCAGTATTTAACTAATGCCAAAAGGGAAGGGTGACTAAAAACTTTAGAGAAACCCAACAAGAAAAGCAAACTGTAAGTGTAAATCTGTCATTAATTATAAAGTTATAGAGAAGCGATTTTACATGTTTTATGCAGTACTCGTGCACAATGCTATTTCAGACAACAAGCTTTCGGATACAAAACACAATTGCTATTCACTCCATGTACATTAGGGATCCCCAAGAGTGGAAAGGAGTTCGCATCACTCACTTTTCAAAGTTTTTTCATCTTTTGTTGATTCCATTCATTTCTAGACAATATTTCTATGAAAAATTGTCACAATGCTTTTTCAGACATTGCTATTCATTTTATGTACATTATGGATCCCTAAGAGTGGATAAGAGTTCGCATCACTCACTTTTCAAAGTTTTTTCATCTTTTGTTGATTCCATTCATTTCTAGACAATATTTCTATGAAAAAAATTGTCACATTGCTTTTTCAGACATTGCTATTCATTTTATGTACATTATGGATCCCCAAGAGTGGATAAGAGTTCGCATCACTCACTTTTCAACGTTTTTGTTGTATCTTTTGTTGATTCCATTCATTTCTAGACAATATTTCTATGAAAAAAATTGTCACATTGCTTTTTCAGACATTGCTATTCATTTTATGTACATTATGGATCCCCAAGAGTGGATAAGAGTTCGCATCACTCACTTTTCAACGTTTTTGTTGTATCTTTTGTTGATTCCATTCATCATTTGGACATCATTTCTATGAAACAAATTGTCTGTTGTGTTCAATTTTTTGTTCTTTTGTTGAGTTTGCTTACTATCAAAATAAGTGTTCATATGTCAAAATTATCACTTTCAAGCACTTATTTGAAGAATCAAGTCAAATAGTTCAGGTTATGTTGCATTGTCACACAGCCCTTGGGGAACCTCGTATCTTTGTGGAAGTGTGTAAATTACCTGGTGTAGATTTTGGCCAAAAACTTTTTAAAGGCTCCAAATGTGTCATTGTAATAACATATTCTCTTCTCTTCTACAAATTATTTTTAAAAGCCATGCGCAAAATCAATATATGACGTATCAAAATGAATATAGAAAATCCCCTTTTATTAAAAAGTCTGAAAACTGGGGCTCTGATTTGAACTTTTTCCATGTTCATTCATCAAGTTTAGTTTGGCAATAAGGTGTCAATGTTGAATTGACCAATGTCCGATTACATTGTCTGCATATTAAGCGCTATTCTTTTTTGAAGAAACGTCCTATCGCTGTATTGACCATATCATATATTTTCTCTCGTAGCTCTGGACTAGCCAAGCCGTATTTCAAAATCACATTCATCAGGCCATATGGGTCTTCTTGATAGGTTTCGCCGCATCCCCATTTTGTGATATTGTCGAAAAAAAGCTTTCTTGAGGGATCCTGGTTTCTATTGTTGACTACTACAACTCTTTTATCGACATCTGAATAGAGCTGTTGTATCTTTGATGGAGCATCTTTTATCAAATCTTCAAATGTCGTTTCCTCTGCTTCTAAATCATCCCCTCGTGTGCATATAATTACTGCGTGTTTAAGGTAACCCTTTCCAAATAGATTTTCTGTGATATCAGAGACTCTGCAGTCTTCTTCGGTGAAACGTGGAGGACTTATGACAATGCCGAACACATGGGGTCCTGGTTTACAGTAGTCCAGACACTTATAAATTTTTGGCATCAGCGCAGCAAGGGTTTTATTCGTATCCATTAATCCTGGCGTATCTATTATAAGTACATTTTTACCATTGTTTTCAGTGTTGCCCTTGGCACACTCTTTGGTCTCGGATTTGAATTTCAGAGACGAAGGAAACACTTTTTTGTTCAAAAGCATGTTTCCCGTAGCACTTTTACCGGAACCTGTTTTCCCGAGTAGGACGATTCTCAAATCTGCAAATTAACAGGAAGATATCTTAAGTTATATTACCAGGTATTTTTATCAGTTATACCATTAATATATTGGCCCTCTGTCGGTAATAACAGAGCTGAGCTGATCCTAGATGAAAGAAAATAGCATTGTGGTCATCTTCATCACATCCAAGATCTCAACCTCTAGATTATTTTCTAATAACAGGGTCTTCGAGTGGTCATCGTGTCGTTTTGCTTAACATATATTGTTATGTTACATTTATATACAAATGCACTGAACTAACTTTGGTTGCTACATCAATATTCGTCATCAGAAAATATAAACAGTATTCATCATTAAATATATCAATTCGTGAAAATATCTTGGATATATCAGAACAAGGTCTTTATATTAAGTACAAAATCACACTCATTCTATGAATTATAATATGTTAATATGTGTTTATTCGTAACAAGCTGTGTATCCCCTCCTGTTAGTATATTGATATCATTGAGGTATTTTTCATACTTGAATTTGCTTTTAAGTTTATTATATGTACGTAATTTATTCACAGCTAAGCCAAGGAGGATTGGCTCCCAGAGTGTCTCATCGATATTCTGTCCCATGTATGGAAATGTCGTGATTCAAAATTTGAAGTCAAACAGCCGTCATTTTGTTCACTTCAACATTTGAATCGTGAATTTTGGTCTTATTGTTGTATTGTCTTATGGTCAATATTTTGAATCTGGTTAACATCGAAGGTACGATTTTTTCTTTTTTCCTTATTTCACACGCTGTTGGCATAATTCCCACGACATTTTTCACCCAAACGTGTATCAGTATCATTTGTTTAAGAAAATGCACATATTTGCGAACAAATAGTTTCCTATAAGTAGACTGAATTTGAATGACAATGTGGGTATGACAAGAACGGTAACCTACGCCCCTTGTATGTATGAATGTATAAATGTATCTATATTGCCATTTATGAAAAGGAACAGAGAATCTGTGACAAAATTAAGAATACCACCAAATGTATGAAAAACTAGTATTCTACATATGAAATTGATGAAAAAAATTCCTCCCGATATACGGGATGTTCCATATGTTTCAGGAATGGTGCTGTATTTTATTGTTTTTTCTTTTCAATCTTGCTCATTTTTTTTACAAAATGTCAGTAGACTTAATAATATGGTTGTCATAGTAACCTAGGGGTAGGATAGGGGGAGCAGGTGTAACAACGCGCAAAACATGACATTTTTCCAAAAATAATAGTTTTTGTATGAAGTGTTCAAAGTATTAATTGGTCATAGTTGCATCAAACTTGTTGGAAGTTAAAAATAGTAAAGATGGATTCCTGACTACTGACAAGTTTGATGCAACTCTAAAAACCCAATACTTAGTCACACTGCGTACAGAAAACAACTATTTTTACAAATATTTCATTTGTTTTGCGCGTTGTTACATCTGCTCCACCTACCCTACCCCTGGGTTACTACAGCAACCATATAATTAAGACTACTGAACTTCACGATATGAAACTTTCCCAACTTATTCAAAACATGTTTGGGCACATTGTATCCAAAATTCAGTTAGATTGAAAATAAAACCAATAAAACACAACATCATTCCTGGAACATATGGGACACCCTGTATTTAATAAGATGGCTTGATCTCCAGAGGGATAGTGATAGTGATATGTACTCATCTGCCTACCTTAAGTACATTGATGTTAACAAATTCAAAACACTGTGTATATGCTTTATAACATTGTAAACAAAGCCCATTAATGCTATATCAGACTTGAACTTAAATGACTTTATGTGTTGTTTTTAATTTTTCATGATGAATGAGAAGCATTATGGAAATTATATCATATGTGTATACAATTAATGTGTAGCTATTATATTCATTATTAATGAAACTATAATCATTTATATCTTTGAATAATCTGCATTTGATTTCCGTTTCGTCTGAAATTATATTTGAGAGCAAAATTGCTGTAAGAATTTTATCTTAAGCCCCAGGCGTAGATAAA